AAGTTGACCTTTAAACTCAATACTGGAGCGTTCAAAGGGTTTTGTGGCTCTGATAAGCTGGCCATGAAAAGAATCACAAAGTTTCGATTCGAGTTTGGAGCAGGTGGAACAGTTAGGGTCTGCACGTTGGATTTCGCCCATAGCCCGAAACCGTTCAATTGTAACACCATTTTGGTCCCTAGCCGGTAGGCTACCCAAAGAAAGCGTGGGGGCTGGGTTACTGTCAGGTTGCCCAAGCCTAGAGAGGGGAGGTCGAAAGGTAGAGATTGGGTTCGAACCGTGAACCTTCCGGTCAGTAAATTCGCGCTCTAACCACTCAGCCATCTCACCATCTCAGATTTCGCCGACTGAAAAGGGAAGGCTCTTAGAACGAACAAAAATATGCAAATCTTGTGACCACGGGATGGCATAATATGTTGTGGAGCTCTTTAAGTTTTTCCGTCCCGACGGTGATAGCACAAATGTTACGAGATAGGGCATGGCCAATCCGGTTGTCCGTTCCTGTTCTATGGACGACCTAGTTGTACTCCGTCGATTCAATTTTCCACCGTTCAACCTTGTCATTATTTCACTATTCTGTCGGTTCTCGTACACAAAAGCAACTGAATGTTGATTCTTAATAATTTTATAATGCCCTCCGAGGAGGTAGTGGTGCTATTTGTGGATCGCTTGGACGATAACATGCGCTTCTTTTTCGACAGCGGAATGTTTTTTCTCGCTTACGATCATGGTCTTTTAAAAAAAGGCGACCAGCCGGTTATCATGGCTCAGGGATGCACCAAAAGCGATTTCCGGCGCATCAGTTTCGACGTCGAGGGGGATGCTGTAGTCGACACTAACGACTATTGCACTCTCCAATTCGTGATTTAGGTTCTCAAATGCTATTAGGACACTTCGGAGGCGAAAATATTTTGTTTTTAAATAAAGGATTAATTTTGTTCGAAAATGCTGGTATCTCCTGTGAGCAGCAGGCGGTCAAACTCACGGGTCTTTGCTGAGCCTGCCTTGACTTGTTCCTTGTGATCACACGTCCAGTGAGAATCACGAGACTGTCGTCCGAAGGGACGACCGCAACCCACTCCGTTCTGTGGGAGTCCTCTTATAGGGCGATCAGGTTTACCGATACCTTTGGAGACCTTGTAATCTAGAAGAGTAATCTCTTCGTTGCAAAGCTGCTTTTTGTATCGTTCAAATCAGGTTTACACCTTTGGAGACCTTGTAATCTAGAAGAGTAATCTTTTCGTTGCAAAGCTGCTTTTTGTATCGTTCAAAGAAATGTTTGTTTGTTTGACATCGAGAAAATCCCTAAGATTATGACCATGTTCATTCTCGCTTTGCCGCTTACAGTAACGTTATCAATTTAGGCGGATGTGTCTTTCACCTGTTCGGCTTTGATGATATTGTTTACCGTTCGTTGGAAGCACATAACGCCGTTTGTCACTCCGTAAGGAATGCACCGAAGCTGGTAGAGGTTCCAGCCAGTTTCGACTGCACTAAATGGCTTATCCGACTAGAATATTAGAACCCGATGATATGCACCTTGAGGTTCAGTGTACTGTAGATGGTATAGCGTGCAACGGTCCCGTCTTTTGACTCAGTTTTGGTGGAGGATAAGCATCAAGATAGGTTAAGCGATTGACGGTCTGACTGTAGTCTATGACCACGTGTCTCTTGTGATTCGTATTGCGCGTTACGGCACTCGCAGTCTCCGTGTAGAATTTGATACTTCGATTATGCCATCGGTGTACATTCAGTCCACTGCGGTTAGTATGAATCGTTGGTCTTCCGGCGTATGACGACGAGATTTCGTGGTGATTGATTCGCAATCCTCTGGAAGATTAGTGATTGGAGATGGGGATTCTAGTTTTGCGGATGTTACGACGGTTAGGCTGCTTCGTTGGCCATTGAACGGAATTTCAACTTTATCATGTAACTCCAAGAAGCCACATGTGAGAAGGACTTCTGCACAGAGGTTCGGTAATACACAATGTTTGAACCGTTCATATGTAGCACCCTTGTACTGAATGGACACAAGGCAATAACTTTTTACAGAACATGAATGTATCGCAGAATCATACGGAAATATTTTACAGTAATGAGGTTGTAGTACTGATGAAAAAGTGAAAATTCTAGAGCTGCTGGTATCAATAAGAGCTCGTACAGTGGCGCGTTGACCGAAATATCTTTTGTATTTTTAGGTAGGAAATTGGAAGCAGCGGCCGAAACTAAAGAGGAAACTGAGGAGTCTTGAGGTGATGAGTATGATTGACCCCACATGGTATTTCGCGGTTCTGAACCTACAGAGGCGTTGAAAACGCCCCATTTCTCACAACTTTAGCAAACTTGTTCTTTCGGAGGACACCTATTACGACGGTGCTTGGGATTCCCACACAATTAACGTGTCTCTTGTGTAGCGGTACATGGGCTGAAAATATATGGCTAAATTACCAGTTAATGACGTGAAAAGTATGGTTTACATAGTCATGATTTTTAGATTGTTATATCACATTTCTCTATGATTGCTTGCTGATACCATCATGCTGTACCACCTCCGATATAGCACTTGTCGACAAGTCTTCCAGTGCAAGAGTTGGATGATTTATCATTTCTGCACACCTATTTATTCCTTCGATCACTGAGTTACATTGAAGTGAACTTGTCAATCTGATGTGTCCTCTGATCCATATATCGGTCGACCACACACTCGTCTTGGTACAGTAGGCATGTACGCGAGTAGCAGGACAGCATCTGGTAGGCTCAGGACGTTGGGAATCGTTTCGGGACGCATGTATGTGGTGGCCTGAATGGAAGGACACGAGGGATCATTATGCTGATGAACAATCAGTTACTTACCCTAGAAGGCAGTCGAGCTCTTCTAAGTTTTTCACTCCTCGACCAACTAGCATGGATTTGATCTCAGGAACGCTCTGTCTATCCATCAAACGATGTACAGAACGAAATGTTTGTTTTAGTGACATCGAGAAAATCCCTAAGATTATGACCATGTTCATTCTCGCTTTGCCGCTTACAGTAACGTTATCAATTTAGGCGGATGTGTCTTTCACCTGTTCGGCTTTGATGATATTGTTTACCGTTCGTTGGAAGCACATAACGCCGTTTGTCACTCCGTAAGGAATGCACCGAAGATGGTAGAGGTTCCAGCCAGTTTCGACTGCACTAAATGGCTTATCCGACTAGAATATTAGAACCCGATGATATGCACCTTGAGGTTCAGTGTACTGTAGATGGTATAGCGTGCAACGGTCCCGTCTTTTGACTCAGTTTTGGTGGAGGATAAGCATCAAGATAGGTTAAGCGATTGACGGTCTGACTGTAGTCTATGACCACGTGTCTCTTGTGATTCGTATTGCGCGTTACGGCACTCGCAGTCTCCGTGTAGAATTTGATACTTCGATTATGCCATCGGTGTACATTCAGTCCACTGCGGTTAGTATGAATCGTTGGTCTTCCGGCGTATGACGACGAGATTTCGTGGTGATTGATTCGCAATCCTCTGGAAGATTAGTGATTGGAGATGGGGATTCTAGTTTTGCGGATGTTACGACGGTTAGGCTGCTTCGTTGGCCATTGAACGGAATTTCAACTTTATCATGTAACTCCAAGAAGCCACATGTGAGAAGGACTTCTGCACAGAGGTTCGGTAATACACAATGTTTGAACCGTTCATATGTAGCACCCTTGTACTGAATGGACACAAGGCAATAACTTTTTACAGAACATGAATGTATCGCAGAATCATACGGAAATATTTTACAGTAATGAGGTTGTAGTACTGATGAAAAAGTGAAAATTCTGGAGCTGCTGGTATCAATAAGAGCTCGTACAGTGGCGCGTTGACCGAAATATCTTTTGTATTTTTAGGTAGGAAATTGGAAGCAGCGGCCGAAACTAAAGAGGAAACTGAGGAGTCTTGATGTGATGAATATGATTGAACCCACATGGTATTTCGCGGTTCTGAACCTACAGAGGCGTTGAAAACGCCCCATTTCTCACAACTTTAGCAAACTTGTTCTTTCGGAGGACACCTATTACGACGGTGCTTGGGATTCCCACACAATTAACGTGTCTCTTGTGTAGCGGTACATGGGCTGAAAATATATGGCTAAATTACCAGTTAATGACGTGAAAAGTATGGTTTACATAGTCATGATTTTTAGATTGTTATATCACATTTCTCTATGATTGCTTGCTGATACCACCATGCTGTACCACCTCCGATATAGCACTTGTCGACAAGTCTTCCAGTGCAAGAGTTGGATGATTTATCATTTCTGCACACCTATTTATTCCTTCGATCACTGAGTTACATTGAAGTGAACTTGTCAATCTGATGTGTCCTCTGATCCATATATCGGTCGACCACACACTCGTCTTGGTACAGTAGGCATGTACGCGAGTAGCAGGACAGCATCTGGTAGGCTCAGGACGTTGGGAATCGTTTCGGGACGCATGTATGTGGTGGCCTGAATGGAAGGACACGAGAGATCATTATGCTGATGAACAATCAGTTACTTACCTTAGAAGGCAGTCGAGCTCTTCTAAGTTTTTCACTCCTCGACCGACTAGCATGGATTTGATCTCAGGAACGCTCTGTCTATCCATCAAACGATGTACAGAACGTAGCGGCTATATCTCTGAGCCATTGAGTAGGGAAAAAGAAAGGCGTTCAGCTGTAGCACCCTTCCGGTGCCTAGCTGCCATGACACCCGAAGGAAGAACGAGGGCTGGGATACTGCCAGGTTGCCCAGGCCTAGACAGGGCCTACATTGAGTAGGGCAGGTAGAACCGCAACATTTGATTTTAATCTTGGCTGTCAAAATAATATCGCTGGCACCACAGGTATCGGAGTTACATCGTCATCATCTTCCAACTCTCTTCACGTGTCCATCTCCCTTCGTAATTTCATTCCTGACCTAAGCCCTTCAATGAGATCTGCTACCATCTCCAATCAGTTTTTGCTGATAAATCCTTACCCTCACATGTCAGGGTCCCCGCAGCACAAATATCTGGGACGATTAGGTTAATTTTCTCTCACTCTTGTCCAGATTCTCATCTCATCCCGAATTCGTCCCATTCCGGATTACCGCTGCCATATTCTGGGAAGGGCTCCCTCTTCTTATTTATATCTTGATTTCGTTCAAAATAAACTCGTATGCTTGGTCAATACCACTTTGCTGACTGATGATCTGCAAGCAACTTCTCACTGTTGCACCATAGGATCTCTTCCTTTTGTTGTACAGTTACTACAACCGAAGACTTCACGGAGGTTGCTTCTTTCGTCCCTTTGCCAATAGCTTTCAGTAGGGTGGTATGTCTTTGTCTATCCGATCGCCCATATCACGTGACTACTGCGGAATCTAGAATTATTTTCCTTTCATCGTTTTTCCTAAAATGACCAGTCTTTGGAACTGTTTGACACTCCGTCTTCCCTAATACATGTAACTTCCAACATCCATCTTAATCCATCTTGAGGCTTTGTTTTTGTCGTCATCGTTTTGTGTCGAATTTTATTCGTTATTTATAGGATCTGTGATCACGGGTCATCTGTTCCTCTGTGATCCACATCTGCGTGTCAAACAAAAGCGATTAGCCTGTGATCTGGGGGCGAGATGGACCAAGTGGTTAGAACATGAATTTACTGACCGGAAGGCTTGTAGTTCGAACCCGACCTCTGCCTCTCGACTTCCCCTGTCTAGGCTTGGGAGACCTGGCAGTATCTCAGCCCTCGTGTCTCCTTCATGTGGCGTGGCAGCTAGGCACCTAAAGGGTGTTACAGCTGAACGATTATTAGCCTGTGATCTCAGTTAAGCCCATTAGTGACAACACTAATCACGCGTACATTACACCTGTAGTTGATAATCCAGGAATATATGCTGCAAATTACTCTTTGTTCTTACCTCTTGCCAGGAAGGAGGATTGGAGAGCTGCTGAGAATTTCGAGCATCTACTGCCTGTCTTGTTTCCTAACTGGATAAGCAAAAGGGTCACAAAATAACTATCTAGAGGTAACTGTCTCAACATGAGCTTTTGAGAATTATATGTAGAAGTATTGTGGGGGAGCAAAACTCGTTTTTAACATAACTGGTCCAATTTCTCACCATTATATCAGGAGGTCAGGTTCCTGGAAGTAACCCCAGAATCCCCGGAACCTACTAAGATCCTAAAACCACCGAAGTCTCATCCATACCAGTCAACCATTCAATTCAGTAAAAGCCGGTGAGTGTTCAGGCACTCCACAGAAGCACGACCGATTATGATCAGCGTTCAGTTATTTCATAGGAGCACGATCGATGTTGATGGGTATTCACTAAATGCCTATCAGAAAGCCTAGATCAATACCGAAAATTGCCCTTCATGTAGCACGTGGCCGTTGTAACTTTTGAACTTGTTTCAATAAAGCTGTTGTGTTCCTTGTCGGTGAATCCTTTTTCTGGCACCAGACACGAGCGGGAACAGCAGTCGGATATAACAATTCTTCCATGAATGTCTGAAACCTCCACGCTGCCAGCTATCTAGTTCATGAAAACTCCAGGTTTTAGCTACGATCGTCCAAGCTGACACTGCATCGGTTGCTGGTGCATGCGTCAAGATTGTAGTTGAGCAGGGGCGGTAATTCTATCTCTAGGACTACCTATCCGACCGAGGAGTATTCGGTTGTGACAGGCGTCGGCTGCCGGGTTCAGCGTCTTCAAACAACAGTGAAAACGTACTCACAGCTCCACTGGTTCAGTTGGCCTAGGATACATGAGACCGATGAAGTATTCCTGAGTATTTCGGGAAACTACGGCAAAATCGTCAAGGCGGAGTGATTCCAGTAGGAATTTTTGGGCGAATTTAATTTCGTTAGGTATAGTCATGATGGCTTCACGGTGAATCACCATTGGTAGACTGGGTTTTTAGCTCATGCTGTACCGGGTGCTACTGACTTAAGTGATTCTATGATTCATGGAATGAGCCCAACATGTCACATAAGGATAATACTTTTGCGTGCGGAATGCACTCCCTGAGGTGCTCGGAAAACATCACGCGCATTAGTATATTTCTATTAAGCTCAGTGTTTCTGTTTTACACATTTTAGTGAGAATTGATGGATTCAGGTATAACGGATTCCTATGATTCATCAGCGAGTCTGATGAATGAGTCTTCAGTCTCTATCTATTCACCAATAGTGCTCGGAAGGTCTGAAAGAGGTATGTTTTTTCCACTCCTGCAAGCCAGTTGCTGTAGGCACCTCCTGGTACGCCTCTGTGATGATCATCGTTAACGCCGGCTTGGGCGCTAGCCTGTTGGCGTTTCCACAAGCCTACGATCTTGCAGGCGGCATTCCTATATCACTCACCTTTCAAACTGTAAGTTTTGTGCTATCCTGGCATGTCCGCTGTCTCAGTTATTATTGATTTTGTAAGGTACCTTTATGGTCTCTGGTCCTAAGCTAATTACTGGTCTCAGTTTTTTTTAAAGTCCAGTTACTGCGACTTTTTGTAGCGCAGCCGTCATATAGCTCACAGTACCTAAAAGCACTTGAAGTCACTGCAGTAAGCCGAATGGCAGCGACTAAAAAGTTGGCGATCTGAATTCGCGTACCTATTCTCACAGCACATCAGCTCGGCGAGTTGAATTTGAGCTCGCATGGGTTTGTGCTAGGTAAAAATAGGAGTATTGAGGCTAACAGCGAACCAGTTAGTACTATTTCTCCCGACTAACACTATAAGTTGAGTGTCTTATGACCTCTGAATCAGCCAAGCATTTCTGTGGTTACACCTTACAGCAAACTTTTAGTTACATACATACTACTTACAACACTGCCGAGATGATAAAAATCATATCGCACCTTTTGCTTCACGCAAGGAGAGCGACGTGTAATGGGGCTGAAAGCATCTTGTTCCCAGCGACACAGACTAGGCCGTGTGTTTTCTACTTTTGCTGTGTCTCGCTACGGACCTTCCCAGCCGAGCTAATGAAACCTATCCACAGGACAAGTGTGCCAAGGCTTAGGCTTCGATGGTCAACTACTGTTGTCTTTCCATCCAGCATAATGGAGCAAAATGGCGCAGGCGTTTCCTCCATTTACACTGTGGCAATCCAGAAGTATCGCAAACCTCATGCCTCTTGTGTATGGGGCCACAATTTAGAGCGTAACAAATTTTTTTGTGTAACCTTCCATAAGGACATTTGCACTGTATTGATTTTTAACCCGGCAAAATGATTATCCTAAGAATCCCTCGTGCTCAGAACTATTGAAACTGATTAACGTTCCAGTAACCAGCTTGTTCTCATTTCCCCCATATCCCAGATCTTGGGCGTCGTTGCTGTCGGTTCCCTGATTATTTTGTCCTATTGTGCTGATCAGAATGGTACCGGTACCTACCAGGAGACTGTGGAGGCTTGTTGTGGGCAGTGGACAAACGTTATTTGTTCTGTCGTCATTGCCGTTTACACATTCGGTTGCAGCATAACCTACTTAATTATCATTGGAGATCTGTGGGACAAGGGTGAGCGTTAAGTGTACTGCTCTCTTTTTTTATACAGCGATTATTTATCACGAGAGTCAAGGTGTGTCAGTACATCCCATAGGATACGTTGATGGATGTATGGCGTTCACGTGCGTGAGATTTGATTATCTGAACGATCCTCCCAACGGGTACAGTACAGCTGATCCTCTTATTAGTCTCTCAGCCATACAAATGGTCCGATCACCTACGGCCATGGACTAAGAATTCTGTTGCCTTTAAGCTGATAAAAGTTTCTCTTTGACAAACTGACGCTTTTTTATTATAGGACTCTCATAACTAAGTTTGCTTGCTTTTACACCAGTTAGGCACTTTTTTCTTACTCTGGCGTTGCTACCACTCATGGTTATGTTCCTAATATTTGACCAATAACCAGCCCTACAGACTTTATGTCATAGATTTAGTTGCACTGGGTGTCACCGACGACATTCGGTGGTATCTCCATTGTGGAAGCCTGTCATCTGGAATTTAGAAACATCAAGCTATCGATAAAAGTGCTCTCAACCTAAGCGCAAGCACAATGCTGCCCCTATCGTTCTAATTTGGCGAGTTTTCTGTGTGTGCTTCACAGCTTTAGGAATCACTGACATCATTATCCATATATCTAGCAAGGAACATCGTTCCGATCCTCCGCGTAAATAAAGTACCAACGCTGCTAGAATGGAAAATTCGTTTATTTCCATCGATTTTTGGTAGATAACTGTTCGTATTCGAGCTAGTATTATCTATATCAAGAATTGCGAATTCGAGTTTGACAGTTTGAAGGAAAGTAGGTTCGGTCACCTTATGCCTTACACTACAGGAAGACTCACGTTAACGACGTCCTTCTTACTCTTTGGTCATTCCGTCCTGTCTTCCAAGTCGATGGCGCCAGACAGATTTTAGTTAATCTGGAGGCATTTCCATCGATGGCTTGGTATTTCAAATCTGTAGAAAGTATCGTCGTCTAGAAACAGCCTTGCTTAACTCTGCTCAGTGTCAAAAGTGTTTCCAGACCACCTTTTTTGTATTCGTTCATGCTGAGCAGTATGGAGACAACTAGGTTTTTCGGATGGGGAATAAAGTCTTCAGCTGTCTTATGTTTTGTAACCGCAGAAGCGCAGGATACGTCCTTGCATGCACTTCCGGATAGCAGTGTCGTGTTTTCGTTTACATGTGATGATGTGATCAGTATTTTCTTACTTGCCAGCTTTGGTTCATTTCCATTGTTTTCACCATCGTTACGAATCGCCTATCCGTATTGATTTCATTTTCGATCGTTCATAAAAAAACAGGCTTTTGATTGAATCAGGCATTTCTTGCTATTTCACACGGTTGATATCTTGACATTTCTATTTGACAGACTTATAAGCTCAATCCTCATTCGTGCCTCTTATCATAAACGGTCCGTAGACCGCCTGGTGTTTCTGTCTGGAACACCAAACACAAGATCGGTCTGGTTTCTCACTTTTTACGTGACTGGTAGTCAAAACGGTGATATCAAGAATAGCTCCGAACACTGGCTTCCCTTAGTTATAGTTTACTGTTGTCCCTTATGCTTTCTTTTTCACACATTCTCCCATGGTTTTTTTCGCCCTCAACTTTTCTCTCCTCTCACATGCTTTTTCAGTGTTTGATTATGCACTTACCGATGAATCTATGCGGCGTATGTGGTATTTGGATAGAAAATTTATTATCAGCGTCTCTTCGATTCTGATTATTTTGCCATTATGCATACCAAAACGCATTGATTTCCTTCGATTCGCCAGGTAAGTGATCGTTTAAGCCGGTGAAAATCTATTTCCAGTATTTCATCAAAATATGGTCGGGGCTTTTAAACCTCACAAAAGGCCAACAAATGATCTGAAAACACTGTCTGGACGGGCTATCATGCTGGTTACTGGAAGCCGAAGCATTCTATGCTATCTCAGATATCTGTCCTTATGGACTCTATAGTGACAAACGTTTTTACAAGGAAAATAGAATTACGCGTAGGGTCGTAGCTATCGGTTGTTTCACAGAGATTCATTTTGAATAGTGGGATTCTCTGAATTCCCCTAATGTTCAACATCCTCCAGAATGCAATGCAACAAACGATCGTGAAGAACAATACTAGTTCATAAAGGAAGCTACTCACAAGGTTGCTGAAAACTCTTCGACAGCCCACGACCGGTTTCGCCCTTCTCAGGGCTCATCAGGTAGGCTCAGTCCCCTAGTTTCCGTCAACCTTACGTTCTACTTGAACCCAAATTGGACTGTTTTCGAGAAATACACTCATTTGCAAACCAATTTAGTTTTCAAGAGATTCAGTTGAGTCTCTCGTGAAAACCAAATTGATTTGCAAAAGTGTGTTTCTCGAAAACAGTAATAGTTGTTTAACTTCAATTTACGCACCACTGAAGCGGCCTCAGGAAGTTTCAGTTCCAGGCTGAAAGTGTCTTCAACAGTAATTCGCAGTAATAGATTAACTGAAACAAAATATTCAGAGAACTCCCACACTACAGTAGGAGGAACTACAAACTCCACCACCCAATCTTACATCAACGTGGTGTAATGCCACCTGTCTCAGAACTGTTGGCCAACCAGAATCCTAGATGAGTGAAGACGTCAACAGCACGATTGTAGCTTACCTGACCCAAGCAGACCGGTCTAAGTGAATCTTGTCCAGTGGATTTCACAAGTTCATTCAAATGTTCAGTGAACTTTCTCCCGGACTGCGTTCCTTCCCGGACTACACTTGACCTCACCATAACCGACCATTGTCTATTTCTAAAATCCACTGATTGGATGGAATTGAAAATTGCCACCTATCAACAAGAATGTATTTCTGCTAATTATTTACTGTGTGCACATGTAGTATGGCAGATAGATGCAGATATGCACAAAGCTCTATGACAAAGATCGAGAGTCCTAGCTTTGTCGTCCTGTCGTTGTGAGGAAGCCAGATAAGTGTGGGTGGAACTATCAGACGGCAGGATCATTGGGACAGCCACTACCGCCGTAGTACCACCGTTCGGTATGTAGCTGCCGATGGCAATGGGATGTATACCAGTTTGAAGTCGCTGAGGCCGTCGGTCGCAGGTATTTCGCTTGTTGTCCCTTCCTAAACTGTTGGGCTGATAAAAACACTAACTCTCAAAACAGTTTTCAGCAACCTTGTGAGTAGTTTCCCTTATGGAAATATACCCCGGTATCTCGAATATCCTACCAGCTGAAACATGAGGTGTCCTTTTTGCAGCACATTCAGTTGAAGAATATTATTAACGAGAGATTCAGGCGAGTCCTCCGTGAAGATCAATTTGAAATGCAAATGGGAATATTTGTCGAATGATAGTGATTCTTGTACACGAATAGTAATCCACTGGCGTCACCTTGATCAGTGTATGTCCTCCGAAGGGAAATTAAATTTTCCCGTAGTGATCCCACAAATAGCGGAATAAGCGCCGTGGCAATGTATAATAGGATGAGTCTCAAACAAATAGGTAAAGTAAGCTTACCTGCACCGAACCTACCAAAAAGACTTGGGGTCACGCAAACTCGGTTCACAAACTGGACCACAGCCAACAGTAATATGACAGTAAGCAGACTAGGAACACTGGAAATGTGGATGTTGTATTAGCAGAACTCTCCACGCCAACCACTTTAAAACACATCACAGGCATTGGTAATTAGTGAACTGTTCAACAGCTTTCGCAAAGTGACGGGGTCATACTCATCCCAAAATGAAGAGTTGATTGATGTTGGCCTCCTCCGCTTGAAAGCTTGCATTGCAGACGCCAGCTTTGTCCTCTGATAACTAAAACTAAGACTGCAATCAGCGCTGACTCCCAAACGAGTGGCGTCTTGAGCCCTAGACACATATTCGAACGAAGGTTTTACAGGAGTCTGACAATAAAATCACTCCCTTTCCGTTTAGTAAAAATCAGGATCACACTTAACCTGCCCATTCAGTGAACCTTCATGATGAAAGCTATAAAAACGCCTATGGCACTTACTCTTCAAACTAAACTGACTTGTGTTGTATCGTAACATGCTAATTGAGTCTGTTAACTATCTACTGTGCCGTTAGCTCCCCAAGCTTTGAAGACGTATACAGTACGATAATATCCCACTTGATTACGATAAAAAAGTTGACAGTTTTAGGGTTGATGTCCTTTATAACGCGTTCGTTGCGTTCTGGAGGGTTTGCTTATAAGTGGTATTCTGAAGCAGGGTTTCTGTATCGCTAAATCATTTTCTTGAGCAAATTGATACGTGTTAGGAGATCGTTTACCGGAGGGGGAACTACGTACATACACTGGATGGACGGGGAGTTAATGATACCGGCAGACCGGATTCACAGCGGGTTTTACGCCTCACCTTATCTAACCAATTAATTGATGTCAGGAAGTCTATTGCTACTAGTTTCATTGTGGATCCCTTCCTGAACTGTCTTGTCTGAATAAAGCGTACCTTTGAAACAACTAATTTTATCACATGAACTCAGCCATATCATGTGCGACATAACTCCAAGTTGTCTCCGATCCTAGTTTTTCGTCCTCTTGTTCAGTTGCTGTTTCTACGATTAACCGCTTATTCTTGGCAATCATACTTACTCGGCGGTGCGAAATACACGTGCGTCGCTATTGTCCCATGTTTAGTATATAAAGCCCGGTCAGTTCGAAAATGTATCTTTCGGCTTGGGGGGGGGGATTGTGGAGAGGCCGGATAGCACCTTATGGTTGGATTTCACCTTGAGGGCAGCGAGGAAATGCTCAACGACCACAATTCACCCTCTATGCGCATCCCAATAGACCACACGTGGTGTTTTCCTCAGTTACTGATTAATATGCTTGTTAGGTTTTTGAGGTCTTGATATCCGTTACTGTTTAGTGGAAAATCACTGAAAATTAAATTCATGAAGTTTTATTGAAACTTGGTGCGCTAGTTGTATACTAAAATTGCTCATCTAGTACGTGTTTGCTGTATCAGTTAACACACATCGCCATTCTGAGTTGGATTAAGAACTGTAACAGATCGTCTGCATCCGCGACTTCTTTAAGCGTAACCTTTTGCCGTTATTTTGTTTATCTTCTGTAAAAAATTTCGGAATACGCACTGTTGCTTTTTCTGTTCTAATAGCATTCACATCCATGAATTCGCATTGTTTTTCTACTGCCAGCACAGTCGGTGTTCTTGGTGTGTGTTACATTGGCGTGCTGATTGTGGCGGAATACTTCACTGACTTACCACCACCAGGACCAATCAAAACCAGGTAATTCTACACACAAGTTTAATGGTCATTGTCTGTGCCCGAAATTCGAATTTGGGTCAATTGAAATATCGGCTGAGTGTTTTGTGCTCATTACTAAGGATACTAAGCTTGAGGACATCTCACTTATTAGGATGCGAGCCACCTACTGGAAAGTCGAACCTATCCTCGCCTCTTCACGTGCTGATGTTCTGTAGTCGGATGACTGTGTAGTATATCATCCCTCGTACACCCCTTGTTTTGCGTAGCGGCGATATGGCATAAGACTGTCGTAAATGATCGATTTGTTTTTTATGCTAGCCGTGTGGTCCACTTATATTGTGCGTCTCAGGAAGTGAGGACTATAGTGCTTTTAATCTGACAGGTTTCTTTTTTGCTTGTAATGAGTCGCCGAAGTTTTGGAGTTGAATTTAAAAAATTAATAAATCGTTCAGCTGTAAAACTCTCTCGATACCTAGCTGCCATGCCACCCGAGGGATGCACGGGGGCTGGGATACTGCCAGGTTATCCAAGCCTAAACAGGATAAGTCGAGATGCAGGGGTCAGGTTCGAACCACGGACCTTCCGGTCAGTAAATTTCTAACCACTGAGCCATCTCGCCTCGATAGTCCTGCTGTTCTGTGGCTCTTTCTACTTGTTCATTATTATTACAGTGTGTGATTTGAATTTCACTCGGTGTATAGTCGACTCTGTAACTTGGTTTTTCGGGAAAAAGGTTGAGGTGCTTTTATGGTGAATGAGATTAAATAGCCGCAGGACTACATAAGCCTTGCTTTATATCACACCGGTCGGCACGTACATACGATAGAGTAAATCACGTTTTCCTCGATCACAATTCCACAAGGAACCACTTGTTTACCAACGTTGGCTTTGCGTGCGCTCGGATGAAGGTAAAACACGCTGGTGGTACATTTATCCAACTCAACACGAATGAAGTTGGGCAATGTGAGCGTTGTATAAGCTATGTTGGATAATGAACACAATAGTTTGTGAGGGTGTCTGATCACGAAATTTTTAATGCTCACGTCATGAAGCGCGATGGGGGCTGCTTTAGGCGACCAATTCACCGAATAATTAGAACGTGTTCGATCTGTGTCAAAATAATAATTTGTCTCCAACGCAATCCCAAACAGCATATAGTGGAAACTAACCACTCTCACTTTCAAAATTTCTGCACATTCTTGCAGAACTACTTCTGTTCGTGACCTTTTTAAATATATCCTCCGACCACCTACCATCGTGGCATTGAATATCCTTTGAAACAGACATGTTATGTGTGATCAGCTATAAGAACCTTGTAAAAAGCCGTTACGAAGTTCACTGTGCTAACTGTGGTTAAGAATGCGAGGTATGTTTGGGTCACTACAGCTTAGTGTTGTGATAAGACCTGTAGGTAGAATGTGTCATTTGGGCGAATCGTTATTGGGCCTATCTCCGTTTATTTTGTCAGTACAGAATCAACGCTAAGGTTATTCCTTGTTCGTATGCAAATATAATTTCAGCCGTCTAATGTGCACCTCTATCCAGCACAGAACTGCGGCACTCTCCCAACGACTGACATTAGAAATGGTCCGATGGGCCTCGTAACACATGTCCTCACCGTTTTGTCAGTTGGTTTGGAAATTTCAAATTGTGTAGATTATCCTTCGTTCCTTTCTACTTCGTTTCATGCTTCTGTTTGTGTGCTCTTTATGCCCAGTGTGAGTTGCCGGATGTGGGATGTTGTCCCTTGACTGCCTTTTTGTATATAGCACTCATGTTCATCCCTATTTTTTGGACCCATATCTCCTCTAATAATGATTCCACTGTTGAATGCCGGTCTGCTTCGCCAAAAGCGGTAGTCATCTGGAAGACTGCTTCATTAGGGGGGTTAGGACGTCGTCAGTGGACTGATGAATGATATCTGTGAACTGCCGAACTTCTGTTTGACGAATTACTTTGAGTTTAACGATGAATTTCTGTTAACTGGAAGGAGTGAAAGCCTTTGCACTCGTTATTTTTGGACTGGGCTTGCGGTGAGCCTCAGGATGCGCCTCACCCCTTTAAGATGGTCCGGATGACCCCCAGCAGACGTGTACTGCGGACAACTGCTTGGGGAAGGGAGAGAAGTGGGACTTGCGTGCGCGAAACAACATGCAAACGAATAAGATACTTGCCGTTTGTAGACATGTCGCAGTTCCACAGTACTCTCTTCCAAGATAGAACCAGCGCATCGTGTAGGCAGTTTTGGCAATGTGTAGTTTTTTTTATATTAGAAAACGGCTCCCCACAGAGGAAGTTCAGTTGCGAAGAGAGTAAGCCACAAAAACATGTCTTACGTCATCGTGATGAATGAGCTCCAGCAGTGGAAACTGACGATTGACTGCTGTACAGTCATGAAGGGTGAAGGCCGTAGTGAAGAACGGACAGAATGGGGAGGAGCAAGGACATACTGCAAGAAGCCCTTTTACCTATAAAAACAAAAATAAAAAATATATACTGAAATAAACACATGATCGTAACTATGGAGCAAGACAAACCTGGGCTAGATAATCAGAATGGGAACTGACAGCATGCTCGCCACTGAAACCCATTCACGTCCCTGCCTTGTGGGGATTTCTACCACATTCAGATATCATCACGTTGACCTCAACCAGGAAAGCTCAAACATCGTACAACACTCGTTTTGACAGTAGTTACCTTCATTTCATGTTGTCGCAGCCTGTCCCGGCAAACTTATCGGCAACAAGAGTTCGGGGGATTTCTACACATTCAGATATCATCACGTTGACCTCAACCAGGAAAGCTCAAACATCGTACAACACTCGTTTTGACAGTAGTTACCTTCATTTCATGTTGTCGCAGCCTGTCCCGGCAAACTTATCGGCAACAAGAGTTCGGAGTAGATAACAGCGCTTCTTTTGGACATGCATAATGCATGTGTCCTACGTCATTGTTTCATATTCATTGGTCAACTTTAACTTCAGGTGGTTGATATCACGAGCCAACCATGTCAGCGGTTTGTCTGAACCTGAGCAGACTACACGCCAAATATGACACTGGAATTCGTCACTGCTGAAGTGCGAATCAGGGATAGTGAAGCTTGAACACGGATTGAGGTGACGTATTGTATGGTATTGGATACTTTCTGATACCCCAATAATTGCCATAATTTTCTCTATTAAAGCGGGGTACATTTTACCTTGTTTTGGTTCCTATTCGCGTTTACTTAACTACTACAAATATCGGCCGCTCTCAGTGATGTGGTTGGTCACGGACAACCTTCCCGCAGACTACCCAATTCGTGCTAGGGCAGCTCAGTCATGGATAAGCTGTTGCTTTCACTGCAGACGAAACGAAACGATTCCATTTCAAATGAAGGGACAAAGTGAGCAAAGTACTTTAGGATTTGTCTTGTGGCTTTCGGTGGCACATGTTTCCTTAAAGAGTATTGCTTTACTGCTATATTTGAATTGTGCCCACTCGTTTTCGTTTGAACGCTGCCTTTGCCATGATGTACTGACACTTCTCCCTGCATAGTGATTCTTTTACATCTCATCCGTTTGTTGAACGTCCCAAGAATCTCACTGAACAATTGCTCACAATGTCCTGACACTTCTCCCTGCATAATGATTCTTTTACATCTCATCCCAAGAATCTCACTGAACAATTGCTCACATCCATTGGACACACCATAACCTCTGTGTTTCTTTTTCCATTCTCAGACCCACACATTTGTCGGACATATTTTATGTGCTACCCGCCATATGTTTTGGTTATCAGGTTAGTATAACAACGACTTGTGATACGTAAATTACACATTTATTCATATCAACCCTCATTCAGTCCGTTTTCTATTTTGCTGCCACCCCTACCTCGAGCTCGGGTTTACCCCAAATGTAGATAACTGTGATTCGGACACGGATGGTAGTTTTAATCAGGTCGTAGCACTCGTAGTCTCCCATAACGTATTACGAATCGACAACAGTAAGACAGTGACCTCTTCAGATGGATTACGTAGAACAGTTGAATACATCACAGTCCACATCCAGTATTTCAGTCTTCGTTCGCCTGTTCCATCAGTCTATTTTGAAGGGTTACTCTCGCGCTCAAAGCGCAATTCTTATCTATCAGAGGTACGGAGTCGCAGTCGGCTGATATTACATGATATTACACGATGTCCGGGTTAACATCCCCGGGAATTTGGAGTCGATGGGCTAATGACACTTGTCACACCTGGTTCACACATCGATGCTGAAAATATTCCACTCCACTGCAACTCAGCACGTGCATCGTCCAGTTTTCGGTCAGCAACAGAGGAGATTATCCAATAAATGGAAGCAGCGGTGACAATCCAATCTAACTGTACATGTATCCGAAAGCTACATTTACGGTTTTCTCGACAAGATGGGAATGCACGTATAGTGAAACTGAAAACTGTAGTCTGTCGACACATTAACTCCGATCCCTAGCCCAAAAATAGATTGAAAATGGCTACCCAGAAGTGGTCATCTCCAGGCACCTGGAGTTACCCATCACTATGTTGTCAAGTTTTGCAAACGTGCCGAAGGAACCTGCGTTCATACAGCTACTAATAAAAAATGATTGGTTGTTGATCACCCAACTGCGCACTGATGATGTCTCCTCGTATGGTGACGAAACATTTGCAAGCCAATTGCCAAGCTCGGCGAACAGATCAGCAGCCATCTGATCAACAACCAATAAACTCACCCGAGCTACCAATAGTTCACCACATTACCAACATGATTCCTTGCCTATACCAAGTGCCTTTTCAAGATCTGGTCTCAGTCTTCCGCGTACTGCATATCTCCATATTATCAGCACTAACACTGCTGGCAATTTTTGAAGTCTTTATCAAAAATAAGGCTTGATTTTTGAGTCAGCCATCTCAACCTGTCCAATGGAAACCCAAAAACCGGGTCGAATGAGTATGGTTCATCTAAGCTCTTTATATTTCATATTGCGTGAGTTTCGAGATTAATATTGTTTGATGGCTGCGCGAGCCTGCATTGATTTATCTCTGAACGGGAGATGTGGTGCCCAGAAAATCACCGTCTTTTTTCAAACCACCACATTACTAAGAAAAAATGACTTAGCCTGTAGGTCGGCTACGCGGTGATGGTCAGTGTCAATACGGTCATTTTCAACGCTGAGGGATTACTTACCCCACCTCATGGCAACGGCTCACAAACTACATCTTAAAACGGAAATGGTCCATGTCTCTTCAAGGTTGATTTTTTCGTTAGTTTGTAATGATACCAGAATGTATGTGGGTCGGACGACCTCCCGTTCTTTTCAGACTGTGACCGAACACAAACTGGTTTGGGTTTGAACGAGGACAGTCAAACACATCAACAACGCAATAACGACACTCAGTTTAAGTCAACCCTAACGTCAACCCACTGTAGTCAGTGTGAATTCTCCTGCGCCATCAAACTGATAAAACACCGGAGTTGAGGTCGCAGTCATCGGTCCGCACCATCGAGCCCACTATTCACAAAACAGCCCGTAGAAGTTCTGGTCCTAACTTGGCCTCCATAGACCAATCTTTACCTAGTTGTAGTCGTGCTTCCGGATCACCCCATTTAGTTGACTTTGTGCATTCTGTTGCCCAACTTTTCACGTTGGAATATCTATTTCAAGGATGAATCACCAGTTCTCTTAAACTGAGGCATTGTGTTTGGCTTCTTATTACTGTCTACATAATCGATCTTGTTGTCGACTGTGAACAGTAGACCATGTATAACAATTGCCTTGGCCTATGATAATGGAACTAAGTAGGAGACAGTCACAAAGTGCAGCTGACGGCTTGATTGGTTTGTCGCAGATAGCTCTTGCACACGACTCTAATCAGTTGACCATTCGTCCTCGGTGTATAGGTCGAGAAAAGCCACCCTGGTCGAGAAGTGATCTCCATCTGCTTCAAAGGGACGAGATAGTTCAGCGGTTAGGGCAAGAATTTACTGACCGGAAGGTCCGTGGTTTGAACCCGAACTCTGCCTCTCGACTTCCCTGTCTGGGCCTGGGCAACCTAGCAGTATGCTGGCCGTCGTACTTCCTTCTGGTGGCATGGCAGGTAGGCACCGAAAGGGTGCTACAGCTCAATGAACGACTACGTTTTCCGCAATCACGATTAGAGGACCATCTACCTGTAGGTTTGGGATGTATGCGTTCACAGCTGGACGCGCATGAACCCTACTGGTCATTTGCAACCAAATGGAACTGAGATCAACGATTACTGCCCTGCCGTGGCTCCAACTTACTCTGGCCTCGTGTCTATCCATTTTACGAATGCACAAGAGTGAACAGTCTATTTTCTGTCCTTACGATATGGCATTGTATGCATCCATTATCTAGACTTTTGGGACTTTTATCTTTTTGGTGGAAGTATAATGCGAGTATAATATTAGCCTAAAACAGGTACCCTGAAATAATACCGCCGAAAACCTGGCCACGCGGTGTTACGGTCCCCTATTTCGTGAATGTCCGTGTGAATTTCAACGTCTTAGTTTGCTCGGTTTCGAAAGTGTCCTGGACCATTTGCGCGTCTCAAGAAATGGACTATCATAGCACACTAGCTAGAGGGCACAGCACTACACTAGCCACGAAATAGCAATACATCCCTCATCTTGCTATATACTGTGTAGCGAATGTTTCGGAACTTCTCGGTTTAATCCTCTAATCCGGTACGAAACACCCCATGGTTATTTTCACTGGAAGATGCATCCAACGGTATCCTTCACCGTAGTTGTTACCTTCATGACATCATTGTCATTGCCCTTGTTCTGCCACGAAAGTACAAAGATTTATTATTGGTCGATTGGTTAGTCTGTTTCCCATAATCTCATTTTCGCTTCTTTACGACGGTGCAGGAGCACCAGAAACGTAGCATATAGCTGGATAACTCACTTCCGCCACTTTACTGCGTCGCTTCTCATAGGTCAGTTTTCGTAGTTCCACGATCGGTACTTGATTCTCGGCTTCATCGTAGTGTGTTTCAGTGTCCATGCGTTTATAATTTGCACTTGTTCGATTTTATCGCTTTCAGTGTCATGTGAGCGCCGTGCCCGTCTATGCGTGTATGCGCGGTCGCCCAAATGTCCGGTTATTCGCCCTGACAGCTGGGCTGGCCATTCTGCTATGTTATCTCTCGTATGTTGCCACAGGCGTTTTTGGATACCTCAGTTTCGGTTCCCACGTAAGCGCGGATGTGCTCGTTGACTATCCCGCTCGACCAGAAGTGGTTGCAGGGCTTGCATTGCTAGCCATCAAAACCTATACCACCTATCCGATATTGCATTTCTGTGGCCGGTGAGTTGTACGACTGGTGGCTGTTAGTGTTGGACTACTTTCCATCTTTTTTCTTAGATTGTCTTCGTTCGGTTCAGTTTATAGTCCACTGAATTCTCGTTGTTTTCGGTTTTGACTCCACGGTCTCTTAACGGTCTACATCCCTTGGAAAATCAGACAGTTCTGTTATGCGCGACATTTAGAGTCTACTAGTGACCTTTGCTGTAATTTCATTCATTCATATCATTCGTGCATTGACAGGGCATCTTCAAGGTACCACGTGATACGAATAAACAATCCCCACTGATGTCACCATCTGCCAAAATACATCAATTTGATGCAGTCATAGTACGCGTTTTTTCAAATTGAAAACAATAGCCTGATGAAATAGGTTTTTGGATTTGGTTCGAACTACTTGACTAGCTTCTACTGTAGTTTCGGATGGTGATCAGACATAATCTAGTTCTCATAGTGTAAAGCGATTTCACGCACCAATATGTGTCTGATGCAGGGTACCAACTTAGCATCCATACTTTCAACGCCTGCACCAGGTAGTATATACTTGGGAGCTTTAGAACTATAGTTATTGTGACAGTTGATTCGAATGGGCTACCAATCTATATAAAAAACACATTCCACTTGAACTGTAGTTGAGCAGTCCGTTCTTTAAAGCATTGAGAGGGATAAGAGAGTTTGTCCCCATCGGGTGTTGTTAGTTAAAGACTCGGTTTCGTCCAGCCTTCACCTGTGAATCAGCTAGCTCCATTGTATACGCTTCACATGTGAATAAACTGTATCGTATCCCATCACCTAGCTATGTTAGATCGCCGCAAACGTTGTTCAGACATAGTTTGCACCTCTGGCGAATAGTCTCCCGAAAGAGCTTTTCGTAGTTGACCCCTTGAAGCTTTTGTTAACTAAAAAATCTCTTGGCCGTCTCCGGTCCGTACCCTGGGGGATCTATGTTCTCTTTTTGCACGTTCCGAGTGAACTACCCATTTCATTAAAACCATATAATTGTTCAGTTAGAAGTTCATCTTGGTCGCATTGTGCACTTCCTACCGAATACATTGGCAGTTTGAATTTGGTGCCTATTTTTTCCAAGTGAAACAACCGAACATCTGTTGTTATGGAGTTATGGAGTACTTTGCGGCAGTTTACTTCGTTATAATTACCTCTGGCTGGCGACGATCTGATGTTCAAATCCCGCCTATTTTCATTTCTATTGATGAAACAACAAACGTACGTTTCCGAACGGAGTGGGTGGGTGGCAATCGAAAACCATGCGCCATTGCAGAGCAGTTGGACGCGGGTCTTCCAAACACAATTTCATGATGTTCTTCGTTGGGCTACCTGGGGTTTGGTTTGGTGTTTTATTGAAATTCATTGTGAATGCAATGTTGGACATACTTCGCAGGCAGAGAATAACGATATCAGTCTCGCTCTCAGTGCTCATTCGGGCTTCTTAACTTCTGTCATCTCATCCAACGTAAGTTCATTGAGTTCGCCGCAGCAGACACACGCAGAGCTTCGCTCCAGCCTCTAACTGGCTTCATTTCGCCTCTTAATAAATACTCGAAAGCAATTAGGGCAAAGTAAATGACGACGCACAGAGTTGGCAACCAAACTTACAACCTTCAATTCACTTCAGTCTGGGGACTCATTTGGAGATATCCAGAGAAGAATTGAACTATCAGACTTCTTTTTTAATAATAAATAATAACCATCCATCTGTAGCACCCTTTCAGTGCCCAGCTGCCGTGTTAACCGAGGGAAGCACGAGGGCCTAAACAGAAGCAGTCGGGATGTTTAGGTTGGATTCGACAGACGGACCTCCCGGTTTGTTAGTCCGCACCTTAACCACTTATCTGCCACTACTGGGTCAGGTCTTGGATACTTATAAAAACTGTGAAATAGATTAAGCCCGGAAAAACCATTTCGCACGTGACTATTATCATTACTGTTTTACTACGGGGAACCCTTTCTGTCGAATCGAAGTGACTCAGAAGCTGCCACTCTTACTATGCAGTTTAAACGTACACGTTTGTTTATGGTCGTACAACTTTACCGCACCCCAAATCCATACAGGTCTGCAATACAAACGACAGTTCTGCGCTACTCTCCGTGGGCCAGAGAAAACTGGAACCATATTGAACCCCGATGGCGATACGTATCCACCACAGCATGGTTCTTCGTCAGCCTCGTGTTCGCTTTGTTCGCACCAGACATAGGGCTGGTTATTGGTCTCCTTGGTGGGATCGCTGGACTATTCATTTTGGTGTTCCCAGGTAGGTGACCGATTGCTCTGTTGATTTCCTTGGTTCGATTTCCTACACAACCTTCTTCACTTCAATCGTTGTGTGCTGGCAGTTAAAATTGCGCTTATGTATTTGTTAGAGCAAAACCCATGCACTGTTGTTTAGACCAATTTGCTCTGAGTTATGAGCAGACGGAGGTTGTAGTTGACTGTGTCTGTTTGGACGCAGATGCTCATAAGCAGCCTTACTGTCAGTTCACTGACCGTACAATTTCCTTCTCACCTCATTACTCAAAAGTGACCTTTCTGTCGTGTGTCCAAACTATGGGTGCACTGTTGGCTGTTTTAGACTTGCCCATCATCTCAGTTAAAGGGAACAAGTCACTTGAGAGTACGATTTTTTGTTCCACAATTGGTTTGCAAGGGAAGGGATGGCCTGTAGTCCGAGAACTTCGTAAGGCGGATGGACGCCGAATCGATTCAAGTCATGAGACAACTAATGGAACACCAGAAGATACTTTATTGTGCACACCACTAACACTCCGAACTGAACCGAAATCCCTGCAGACTGTCGACAGACTAGAAATTCCGTCGGCGGGCGCATCTGCGGAAGAGTTTCTTATTCCTTATACAGGTACGTAAATTTGTCCTTGAAGACTGACATCCCTTACAACTCATGCAATAGCTACTTCCACGTGTACTTTATACCCGCTTTGTAGCAAACTGTTTTTACGGGTTCCATAAGCACGCGAACTTAGTGTCCTTACACAGGTGACCCTAATTTACTCAATCCATTACGCAAGGGTGTCCGGTCATTTCGAGCTTTCTGTTCGATAATTTGGGAGATTTATTCCAACCATATTCTCCCCACTCATAAACGCATAAGTTGATATTCAGACCAGGAAACCCTAGATTAAAGGCAATCAATTAACTCCCTAACTCCCCGAAAGACCAGCTACCAAAATGGTATGAGAAATTCAACACAGAGACTAGAGATTCTCAGTCTATGCTGCAGCCAATATCGATGGCTCTGGACTGACCTGATCTCTGCCTGTCAAAACCTAAATTCACGAAGCCATCTGTGTCGCAGCATTCTAGGGCCTTTTCACACCGGAGTCTGCGAGGTCAACACCTGAGGTCGGCTCATTGGTTCAGCTGATTAGACTATCAGAAGTACTTCTCCCTACGTACATGTCAAGCTT